GCAATCTTACGGCTTACAAAAGAGATTGCATGGATGGAAGAGATTCTGGCTGCAGAATCGTCTTTGAGGACAGGTCCCCCATCTACCTATGCTGATCGGGTGTTTGAAAATGAGATAAACATTGCTGTCAAAATGACTGAGCAGAATTATAGGGATTACATGTTTCGGGAGGCTCTCAAGACTGGCTTTTATGATCTTCAAGCTGCCAGGGATGAGTATAGGTTCTCTTGTGGCAGTGGGGGCATGAACCGTGACCTGGTATGGCGGTTTATGGATGTGCAGACTAGGCTTATCACTCCAATCTGCCCTCACTATGCGGAGTTTGTTTGGAGAGAGCTTTTGAAGAAGGATGGCTTTGTGGTGAAAGCAGGCTGGCCCACAGCAGATTCTCCAGATCTGCAACTCAAGAGTGCCGATAAGTATTTGCAAGATTCCATTGTGTTGATGAGAAAGCTGCTCCAGAAGCAGATTTTGGGATCAAAGAAAGCTAATAAGAAAGGTGCTCCTGTTACATCGCTAACTGAGGACAAGTTAAAAGGCCTAATCTTTGTGAATGAGCAATTTGAAGGATGGCAAGCAGAGTGTTTGCAGATTCTCCAAAGCAAGTTCGACAATAAGACCCATACTTTTGCATCAGACGGGGAGATAATGAACGCATTGCAGGAGAGCACTGTTGGTCAGGCAGCAGACTTTAAACAGATCCAGAAACGTTGTATGCCATTCTTGACGTTCAAGAAGGATGAGGCTATTAAAATTGGTGCCCAAGTCCTGGATTTGAAGCTGCCCTTTGGAGAGATTCAGGTCCTTAAGGAGAACTTGGACTTGATCAAAAGACAACTTGGTCTTGAAGAGGTAGAAGTCTTGTCGGCCACTGATCCTGATGCTTATGTTCAAGCTGGTCCTCATGCATCCCTGCTAAAGCAGAATCCTCCATCCCCTGGAAATCCGACTGCCATCTTCCTGTCAAGGTGAAGGAACTTTGTCATTTTAGCATGCTATGTTACATCGAGGAAATGTTTTTTTGTTGGACTATTTGGTATCAGGCGTTCTAAATTGGTGTTTTCTCTCTGCATCTGTGTTTAATTGGGTGTTGAACAGCGAATGGTCACTTAGCTTAAATAAAAATTGAGTTTATTACTGTATGCAGGTAAAACATTTTATTGCTGTCTTCCAGAAATATTGCATCAAAATGCTGTTGTGACATGTCTTTGCTAACCTATGTGTTTTTCCTATTTTGTTTTGCATTTAAAGTCAAAGATTTTTTTTTTCTTTTGATATTTTCTTCTATCAGTTTTGCTTATTCATTCCTATTTGTTTTTTTAAATTCCAACATTATTGACCTGGTTCTTACTGTTAATCGCTCGCAATTGTACGAAAAAACACCAATGGTGTTTCAAAAGCAAGAAAAAGAACAGGTTTCCAGTTCAGTTTACTGAGTGATCAGTGCTTGCATTGTCGCAATCCGGTTTCTAATGATGATGTGGTAGGAATCGTTTTCTATTGGTCATCCAAATAAAACATTAATAAAAAAAATTTAGTAAAAAAATTCTTGTTTTGTTACCATTTGAATTTAACATGGTAGGTAGTGCATGGAAAACATAGCTTAAGACAAATGATTTTTACTTAAACATTTCTACCACTACAAAAGGTTTTATAAGAATTTCATTTTTTTTATAGAAGAATTAAAAGAATTCTATTGTATTGTCATTACTCTTTCAATCTCATTTTTTTTTCAAAATTATATATTTTTTTAAAAACCTAAAATTCTTAATTTTTTTATATTCCAAACTTTTTTTTTCATAATTTTTTATTTTTTGATATTAAAAACTAGGAATTATATATTTTACAAAAAATTAAAGTTAATAATGCATGTTAAATCTCTCTTTTTTTTAATTCCAAAAAACAAATAAGAACATAAAATATGAAACAGAAGGAGTATCAAATATGAAAAAATAAAGTTGTTAAATGAAAAAAAAATGCACTTTCAATTGTTATATTGTTTAAAAAAGTGTTTATTGAACGAGTAAGTACAAGCGTATAACCCTACTACTTTAGGTAATTGCAAAAATATTTCTCAATATAATGAAATTAGACATTCACCCCACAGGGACGTATTTGACATGTAAAAGAAAATCTTTCAGTTCTAGAAAAAGAAAAAATAATGGACCGTTAAAACTTCCTCTTTTCTTGCCTTAATTATCGATCCTTTGGTTTACCATTTTTCACTTCAAATGCGTCCCCGTAAACCTCCAATTTCCCACATTTTCGTGGAAAACTAATCACCATATTCTCATCCTTTTCCATTTTGTGTCACGGAACAATACTTGTTTTTCTTACCTTTTATCAGGGATTTAAATTGTGATAACGGTCACGTTTTTCATCGCATCGCGTTTGTCACGATTGTGGATATAACGAAGATTTTCACGATCATTGCGACTATTGCGATCATGAATTTTTTAAAATTTTGCTCAACTTGCTATAAATTATAATAATTTTAATTATTAATCATAAAATTTTTTATTTTATGATTTTTAAAGTAATTTATATCATATCATGTGTTTTATTTATTTAAGAAAAAATATTTATAATAAAATATTCATATTTAAAAAATTATTTATATGATAATTAAAAAATAAAAAGAGATACATAAATATGTGAAAAATAAATAATCATAACGAATAATATATTTAATTATTCAATTACCGTACTCATCAAATTATTACCGAACTATATTATGCATAAATCAAATAATAAGTGATTAGGTATTCATAAATTAAGTAAGAACACTATTATTTATGAGTCAAAATAATTGCTTTTTATGAACTTATAGTAAATCAAACTTGACAGCCTCCATGTTATAGTCGATTTTCAACAATAATAACCTCAAGTCTACTTTTCTTGTTTCTTGACTAAATTGCACAGACACACACAACTTTTTATCCCTTCACCTTGCATTCAATAATTTTTTTTCTCTAAACCTTCATCCTCATTCCCATCTCTCAGTTCTCTTTTTATTTGGTGTGTGCTATCTGCTTATTTCTGTAAACCTCAAGTTTCACTCTCATCTCTTATCTTTTATTTTAAGTCCCAGCAACTCTTGCCTCCTTCTATCAATGTAACATAGCTCAATCTAATCCCGAACACACAAAATCATGGTAAATTTGGAAATTAAAAAAAAAAGATAATTTGAGTATTGAATTAATTATTTACTTTAAATTGCATATACTTGATTTTGATTGAAGTTGAACTTGAGAGAATTGATTTTTTTGAAAGTTTAAGTTTTGAGGGTTTTTTTTTTTGAATTTGTAAATTGATTTTTATTTTTTTTCTTGTTGTTTTTATTTTAAATTTTTAAACAAAATAAAATGAATTTTTTTTTTGAATTTTTGAATGAAAATAGGAATAGCGGTAATAACGGACCGCTATTGTCGCTATTCACCGTTATACCGCAATTTATGGCCGCGATTCATCCGCTATAGACGAGATTCAAATTCTCCTCCGTTTTTTCTCCAATAACGGTGGTGGATAATGGCGCGACCGCAAAATAGCGGCCGCAACATCCGACCGCTATTTGAATCCTTGTCTTTTACTGAAAAACAGAGTCTTTTCTTTGATCAACCTGGTAAGTTTTAAGTTCAACTCTTAAGTTTTTTGTATTTGTTTCCTTTAATATGGATTGATTTATCTTTCTTTTTCTTTTTGCTTTCAATTTGTTTATTGTAGTCAATATGAATAGGAGGAAGTTAGCATACGAGAGACATCAGACCACGGCGGACTCGGAGACGCCAGGGATGCCGGCATCACCACTGACATCATCGTCGCCGATACACCGCCACGGACGGTCGGGATCAAGCTACGCAAGCATGGGGAACATGAAGAAAGCGCAAACGAAAGCGGCGGCGCAAAGGCTGGCGGCCGTTATGGCACTTCAAATTTCAGACTATGTGATCAAACACATGAAGAAGCTTAGGAAAATGTTTATTTTTATCTTCCAGTAATGTGGTGTGAATTTCAGCTTGATATGCTACAGGATGAAAATGAAAGTTTAATTGAAAAGGTGATTCCAGCAACTTTTTCCTTCTTTGTTATGTAACTTGTTCTATTGTTGTATCTAGTAAAGTTGTATGAAAAGTTTTATTTGGAAAATGATATTGTATTCATGCACATCAATTTGGCTCTCCATCATCTTCAAGCACCGAGCCAATATCCTAAATTGTTGCAACAGTTATCTTCAAATGAACGGGCATAATCTATCTGAATACTGGCATTTGGATATAACTTTTGCAACACCATTTTCTCCCAAAAACTCTGATGTAATTAGGTTAGCCAACTAAGTGCTTTGGCCTACGGAAAATGTTAATAATAGTCTTATACTGTTATTTTTGCATGATATTTGCCTTCCCAGCTTCAACTTGCAGAGGAGAGGTGTGAGGAAGCAGAAGCAAGAGCTCAGCAGCTTGAGAAACAGGTGAACTTTTCACAGTTTAAAGAAAACTAAACAAGAGAAATGTAAATGAACTTTATACCGCTCCAGCAAGCAAAGTTATGTATTTGTTTACTTGATTCATAACATGTTCAATATAGATTGCTAATCTTGGAGAAGGTGTAACTTTAGAAGCACGTCTTTTAAGCAGGCAAGTTTCATGGCTTACAAGAATTTAATGTTATATTGTGATTTATTTTTCATTTTTCTTATGCGCTATTTGTCTTCCTCTTCGGAAAGGAGGCAGCCCTGCAGGAAAGGGAGGTTTATACTTCTAAAGAGTGCCACTCTTTTTTTGTCTCAAACTAATCTGCATGCGTTATCAGTCTCATTATGCATGGAAAATTACATAATACTCGATAACTATGAGCCTTAAAAGACATTCTTTTGTCTTGTAAGTGTGTGTTTACTGAGTTTATTTATGCTTATTTCTGCATCTTTTTATGCATCTCTCTTTGTGAGATGGTACTGATTTCATGCATAGAGAGGTTTATTATATACACCTGAAGCAGGCATGTGCATCTAAAGAGTGCCACTCTTTTCTTGTCTCAAACTAATCTGCATGTGTTATCAGTCTCATTATGCATGGAAAATTACATAATACTCGATAACTATGAGCCTTAAAAGACATTCTTTTGTCTTGTAAGTGTGTGTTTACTGAGTTTATTTATGCTTATTTCTGCATCTTTTTATGCATCTCTCTTTGTGAGATGGTACTGATTTCATGCATAGAGAGGTTTATTATATACACCTGAAGCAGGCATGTGCATGAAATTTTTAGCATAAATTTTAAAATGAGAATCTGATATGTAAAAATAAATGCCGTCTCAACAGTCAATAGACACTAAGCACGGAAGTTGGTGTTTGCTTTAGATCTGTAGGAAGGATTGCCAGAGGTCATGCTTTATTCATTCTTAACACCTTCAATAGTTTCATTGCTTTTGTAGATCTAGCTAGTCCTGCTTTGTTGCTTATAACTGACTTCTTTTTGCAAAAATCATTGTGCTACTTTAATTCTTTTACTTTTACATTTTAGTCTGGACATGGTTTATGAACTGCAGCTGAGTAGCATACGACATTGTTCTTCTTGCAGGCTGCTTTAAGAACTGCAACGCAAACTCATGGTGGTATACCCGAACAGATTGCTTCTCTTCGGACAGAGGCTGAGGTATTTTGAAATTTTATGTTGTATGCTCTGGCTTTTTCTTTTGAATTTTACCATTCTTAAAAAGGGGGAAATGTTCTTGCTTAACTTAATTTTCTCTGTTCTTAAATTGTGAGCTAGATTGCCAGAGATGAAGCAACATCTGCCTTAGATAAGCTCCATGAAGCGGAGTGTGAAATCAAATCTCTGCAAACAGTAACTCAAAGGATGATGCTGACTGAGGAAGAGATGGTTGACTTTATTTCTAATCTTGCAGAAATCATTTTGTCAGTTTACTCCTTTATGTCATAGTTACGTAATCTGCAGTTTTCATCTTAGGAAGAGGTTGTTTTAAAGAGATGCTGGCTTGCTCGTTATTGGAGTTTATGTGTGGAACATGGTAAAGTGTTGATATTTAAATACGTGAAATTCCTGATTGTTTTTGAGTTGATGCTGCTGTATTGGATAAACAGTTGCCTCTATAATCACCATAAAAGTTAAAGCACTGCGTTCCAATATAAATGGTTAGGTGATCCTGAGAGTAATTACAGTTGCGACTGCAGTCAGTTTCTTTAATGTGCAAACCCATAATTCTGTCTTTGTACATTTTGTATGAAGCTGCTTAGATTTCTCAAGGACATGACCTTTTGCAGGTATTCAGGCAGAGATAGCTGGGGCAAAACATGAATATTGGTCATCATTTGCTCCTCTTCCCGTTGAGATAGTATTAGCTGCTGGCAAAGAGCCAAAGAGGAGGAATCTTCATGTAAGATTTCATTTGATATGCATGCTTTAATTCATCCACTTCCCCATATATTCCATCTGACCTTTGACAGGATTTAAATAATAAAGAAGGGGAGCTGTTTAGGTGTAAAAGTGGAGTGACGCTGAAACCGAGAAAAAAAAGAAAAAAAAATTAAAAAAATAGAAAAAAAACATTGTTGTGTGTTTTAATTTAATTAAAATTTTATGAGTAAGTTATAATTTTGTATTTTATATTTTAAACAGTAAAAATCAAATTTAAAATTTTTTACAAATAAATTTAAAATATATTTATTGAGTCATTTATTTAGTGAATTTTTTTAAATTATTTTTTTAGTTATTGATTAATTTTAGTTTAACTAAAAGATAATTTTATATATTTATTATTTGATAATAAAAGTTTTTTTTATATTAGAAGAATTTTTAGATAAATTTTGATGTATTAATTATTATTTATTGCTGTAAATTTATTATGATATATTGTTTTGTTTGTCACTTCATATCCAACAAAATTTAAAAAAAAAAAATACAAAGAAACAGCAATAAAACAGAACCTAACCAATCAAGAGAGATATTAAGAGAATATAAATATTTAATTTTGTTCGAAATAATAGATTATAAGTGGCAACAATATTCTTAATGTTTTGATGAGTGGCAGTAACCGGAAAAGTTTAATCAAGAGAGATACTTGAATGAGATAATCGTTTAATCAATGAATCAGAACACGACAAATAGCTGAAGCAGAGTGTATAAAAAGATACAAGTCTTATACTTTAACATCGAGAAGTTTTATAAAATTATATTTAGGTGATAAAATAATTTATATCTTAGAGATTTTAATTAATTTTAAATAAAATAATTTTTTTTAAATAAAAAATCAGATCCAAAGTGGATTGGATTTTTTTTTTCTTTAAATTGGGTTTGAGTTGAAGTTGGATTTTAAGTTGTTCCAACTCCACTAGATGCATGTATATAAAAAATATTTTTATTATTTATTTAATTTTATGTTAATATATATTATATTAATAAAATAATTATTTAATATTTTAATTTAAGGTATTGATTTAATAAAAATTTTATATTATATATAACTAAGATATATATTTATATTTAGAAATAATATTTTATGAATATTGTATTAAATTAAATTATTATATTAATTTTGAATAGAAACAAATTGGTTGCAATTTATAAATATACTAATCGAATTGAATAAAATAATATTTTGATGTCAAATAAAATTAAAATTGAGTGTAAAAATTAAAAAATTGAATTGAAATTAAATTAAATAAAAATTCACTTTGATTTAACCCGTTATTATCCTTCCTTATGCTAATTACAAAAATATGGGAATACTCACAATTAATGGGTCAATTCCAAAGATGATTACATCAAGTAATGCAAGTACATCATCTAATGAAAGGTGCAATAACACAATGATGGTATTAGACTTAGATTTAGATGGACCGCAGAGTGATGATAGTGTAATAACTCTATCATTTTATTTAATGAAAGATGCAATAACACTATCGTTTTATTTAATGAAAACGACATTTTTGGTTTGTCTGCCATGCCCATTTCAAAGGAAAGGAAACATGAAGGAAACAGCTAGCTATATATGAAAAAGAACCTAACCATTCAAGAGAGGTACCAAGTGGGCATTGTAACTTTAAAACAACCTAAACAAATTTTTTTCTCAATTTGTTTTTCTGATGTTCTCTTTTTTTCCCCATTTTCTTCAAATGTGATTTGCTTGTTTAGGTTGTTGGAAAAGGTTGGATGTCTGCGATGCGTGAGATTTTGGTATTGATTTGAGTTTTAGTAAATTTTTGTTTGTGGTTTTCTTTGTTTTTCCACCGTTTCATTTTTTCAGAACTCAATCTTTCTGTTTTTTTTTTTTCTCCTTCCAACATATTTTTTTTTTTTTTGCCAAAAAGTCTAGTATTGACATAAGATTGAATAAATGATGAATCCTCCACCCATAGGTCACCCAACTATGCCATCTCTAGTTGAGTTTCATTTTATGTTAGATAACTAGATAGATGACAGTATTCTTATTCTCAACTTGCCTTGCTAGTTGGAACATATAAAATGTTACAATTTCAAGTATTCATATTTCTGGTTATACGCAGCCATACATTTTATAGGTATATTGTCCATAAAGTCCATAATTGAAGCCAACAAATCATTGGCACAAAGACTCTAAATCAAACAAAGTAAAAACTAAAAAGCTTCCAGCTAGCGCTAGCCTCTATACTGATAGGCTTTGGTTCAATCATCCATCATGACAGCTGCATGCAGTAGTTCAAAACTAAATGAAATGAGTTAAAAATACAACTCAAAGTAATTCCGAGCAATGTTCCAAAAAAAAAAAAAAGCTAAGTTCGAATGAATCTTGTGGAAATGGGTGGATTGAAGTCTCACATGCTGCTCCTTTATTCTCACCAAAGCATCGACTTCAAAATTTACCTGCGATCAAAGCTACAAATCATTAAAATTTGCAAATGTTGTATGCATAATACATGCGTAGAGAAGAACTTATATGGTCAATTTTAACTAGCAATGAAGAGATAAAAGATAAAGAAATTAATAAGTACCACAAACCATACCTGGTAAATCTTCTGATCTTAAATATGAACCTCTTGGATGTGTGCTATCTT